TGTTTCTCTGGGGAGTCGAACTGTATTTTCCCCGCAGTTTTGCCCCTTCAGTTGCACTATTGGGTGTTTCTTTTGTTACGATTTCTGGGGCAGCATCAGCTCCCCCATCGTACAGAAACTCCCTTCTCATCAGTGGGAGCCACTTGAGGAGACACTTGAGGATTGATTCTCTGGTTTCAAGCTTTATCTGCTCCATCTCCCCCCAGGGGTAATGCCCAGCTACTTCTCTGTTAATCGTTTGGCATTGCTGAGGTAAACCAGAGCCCCCCCATCACTGCACCATCCTCTTGCCACATCCTGGCTAATTCCGAGCGCAACTCTCGCTCCCAAACAAACGCGTTTCCCAACTGCCTTTGGCCCCTCTTGGCGGTTTCCTCCGCCCGCAGCTGCTTTTCCCGCCCAGTTTTTAATTTGGCTTGGAAATTCTTCACCAGCCCTTGTAAAGGTTCATTTTTCTCCTGCTCAGCCCGTTTCACTCCACGTTTATCTCTTTGCACTGCTGTCAGCGCTGCTCCCAAAACACCCCAAACTGCAGCTTTTCCTTTGCCAGGTCTCAACCCATTTTCTCTTTCTCCAGATCCTTCATTCCCTCTGAGACAGTGAACGGGCATCACCAGGTCAATTCTGCCCAGGCTCTCCCTGAGGGTCAGGCAAGATTTACCTGTTCTCAGCAGCTCTCGCAAAGGGGAGCGGCCAGATCGGGCTGAACCCAGGAAGCCACGATCATCTGCTGGAAGATTCGGACTCAGCCCTTCGCCCTTCCCCAGCTCAGTCGATAGCCCTTTCCCTTCTACGTTCCCCTCCCTGACCGACTCGGGGGATCCCACTTCTGACACCAAAATTCTTGTTCCCTGCGGTGGGTTATGACAGGGGCGGGGGTGAATCTTTTGAGCCCCCCCAGAGCACGTGGCCGGTGGAAGAGCCGGTCTCAGCTCGGAAGAGCCGCGGGGCGGGTCGGGGCACCCCAAGGACCACGGAGCGACTGTGCTGGTGATAACCCTGTGGGTATGGATAAAGCACTTTGGCCATGAGACTGTTTTCCTAATAACCCATCAAGGAACAACCGGTGGCCGTTCAATTAGCCATGAATATATGTAGGAAAGAGCGAGAGCAGAAAGAGGGAAGAGAGGCAGGGGGATGGGGAAAGGGGCAAGCAACACCCTCGGCTCCTGCATCGTGGCCGAGCACCCAGCTCGGTCTGTAACGCGTGTGTCAACAAACACTCCCCTGGGCTGTTGCCTTTACATATTCTTTCTCACACCTGTGCAGTCGGTTGTTCCAGAAGTTTCTGTGTTTCTCTGGCTTGTCCCTGTGCAGTGACCAAGTTCTGTCTCTGGGCAACAACAGGAGGGAGGGGGAGAGAACAGGCCACCCCCCCCTCCCCGCAGAGCTGCTCTGTTCTCCCCACAGAACATCCCCCTGGAACAGCCTCTTACCAACAGCTTCTTGTTCGTGAGCAGCTTGTGACACTGGTAAAGCCCAACTGGGGTAACTGGGCATTGGTCCTTGGAGGGGAGGTCCAGCCATGCCGAGTGCCCGTGGTGTCTCCCAGCAGGGCTCAGCCCACCGCAGGGGGCACAAGGGTGCCCGGGGAGGGCAATTCCATCCCCTGGCTCGGGCTCCCCGCTCTGCCCACCCCGTTCCCATCACGGCCCCGACACCAGCAGCACCCAGGGCCACGGGACCCCAAGGCAGCATGTGGGAGGGGGACGAGCCAGTTGCAGGCAGGGGGGGCATCATCTTTGTGTCCCCCCATCCCCAGAGCTGGGTCCTACAGGGCTCTCCCCCCCCTCCAACCTGGGTGCCCCTCAATGTCCATTTTGAGCTTTTGCCAGGAACCAGGATCAAGAGGCCCTGGGGCCGGCGACCATCAGCCCCTGCCCTCGCCTGCCCGGGGCTGTGGGTGCCCACTGCCCGTGTGGAAGTGACTGCAGACAAGCTGGGTCAGCCGTATTTATTGAGAACAGTTGTGGAGGGATAAAAATATTTCCACTAGCTCTATAAGAATTTATAAACCTATACTCTGCTTATCCTTTAATAAATGCCTCTATGACCGTCATGCGAAGGTAGGTACTTCTGTAAGAAAATAGCAAGATTAAAAAAAGGAAAGCGCTAATGCACCCTGCAGGGCCCTGCCCACGGGCTCCCTGCCCACGGGAGCCAAGGGACCCCCCAGCTGGCACGGGGACACGGGTGGCACATGCAGAGGCTGCCCCAGCTCCCTGCAGCACCCACCCTGAGCCTCAGGCAGATGCAGCCTCCGTCAGCGAAGCTGCCCGCACGCAAACCCCCTCACCCAGGGGTGACCCCACCTGGGGGACCCCTGCTCAGGTGGCCCTGCTGGAGAGAGGAGGAGTCCCCATGCCAGCGAGCTCCCAGTGATCCCACTGCTCCCAGTTCTGCCTCCACCTGCAGCCTCGCTGTCCCCTTTCATCCTTCCCCATACTCGGGGTGGCGGTGGTGGTGGGGAAGCGAGGCGGTAAGGGGGGGTCGGGTCCATCTCCCCATGGATGCCCTGCAGCCGCTGGCCGGGGTGTGGGCCAGGACTGGTCCCAGGGACCGGCGGTGCTTTGCCGGGAAGTGACACAGATGGGGACACTCTGGGGGGACACAGAGACACAACGCAGTGCTCTGCAGGGCAGTGACACGGATGGGGACAGCCTGGAGGGGAGAGGGAGACAAAACGTGCGCACGGGGAACCATCGCCGGGGCACGGAACAGGTGAACTCCAAATCAGTTCCCGAGCTCTCCAGGCAGCCGAAGGCAGGGCACGCAGGGGAGATCCCCGCTCTCCTTCCCATCGCCGGGGCTATAGCAGCTGCAACCTGCCCGGCCGGGGGAGCCCCCCAAGCCCCACCAGAAACAGCATGAGGAGGATTTTGGCAAAAACAGCTGCACACCTGTACCCCTCAGTACACCTCTCCTGGGAGCTGCCAGCTTGTTTCCAATGCCCAGAGGCGTCTCCTTGCTCCCTAGAGACACCTTTGGAAATGTCAGTGCATCAGGAAACGGTGCTGCAGGGAGTTACACTCCGGTTGAAATGGGCAAGAACAAACCAGCTGCCAGCACTGACGTTTATTTTGATGCGCGTCAAACATCCTTGTGAGCTGCGACAGGACAGGAAATGCAAGAGTGTACGTGTGTTTGGTGATCAATAAAACCGAGCTCCCTCTGCCGGAGAAAATCCCGAACGTTTGATTTGCAGGAAAAGGCTTTAGAGGGAAACTGCCTTCCTAGCAACACGCCGGCAAAACCAGCTTAGAGTAAGTTTCTGTAACTCAAGATCTTCAACCTGCAGCCACCCTGATGTGCTCCAGGTCCTGAACACAGAAACCAGGGGAATGACAGGATTGTGAAATCAAGTCTTACTGACCCAGTATCATCTCAGGCTCCCACCCAGTGTCTCAGTTGCCGATCTAGGAATTGCATGTTAGTGCTAACTGCCAGACAAGCTAAGTATCAACATTGTCATCTCCAGTCTACATAAAGACACGGCTGTTTGAAAAACAAGCCGTTAATGGTTTGTACACACGAGGAATCTTGCCAATCTGTCCACGCAGGGAGAGGTCTCCGTGCTGAGGCTGTGTCCACATGGCACATATAGTTAACGGGCCACTAAACGTTCCATTTAAACGCCATGCAAGATTACCTTGGGGGCAAGAGAAAGCATTTTAAAATGGATAACACAGCTTCAGAATCTCCATTTCACTGGACCTCAGTGAAACTCAGACACCACAGGGGCAAGTCCTTCCAAAATAGCACTAAAGAGCTTTAAGTCAACCTTGCACAAGCTCACGTCAATAAACTGCTGCAGAAATCAGCTTCCAAAAGGAAGCCTTGGACTAAGAATCTAGTCCCACAGGCCCTCTGCACGTGACAGATGAAAACTTTCCTCCTCCAGCTGACTTCAACTCTCCCTGATTCCATTCTACAAAATTTGCTACTTGTGGATGGTACAAAGGAAAAGGTCATGTCGAGAGGATAAAGCAGAGCTCACTTTAATTGTCATAAGAGTTGCTCTCTAAAAGGCAATGGAAGACAAGGAACACAGCACAGGCTCGCCAGGGAGAGAGATGCAGTCATGGGCTGGCCAGCAGCTCCTGCCTCGCTGCTTCCTGTCAGGGTGCAAACACGTTCACGTTGCTGACGGCTCCTTCAGTTCCTGCTGGTTCAGCTTTTAGTCACCCCAGCAAACAAGCTTTGTCGCTGGCCTGTCTTTTTAGGATCTCCTCCAGTTGTTGTCCTCTCTTCCCCTCTTCTTCGAGATAAACAAATGCTTTTATCTGGAAGTTGTGTAACAGAGCTGAAACAAGATTGAACTGAATTGTTAGGAAGTAGATGCTGTGTGCCTCGGGAGCTGGCTGGAAACTCCGTGCACGGATCAGAAAGCAGCATAAAAAGAGAGAGGACAAAGGACAGCTGCCAGAATTGTTCTCTATAGCACTGCAGAGAAAAGGGGCACATACAAACAGTTACCCAGGGAATTACAGCCCAACAAAAGCCAGTCCTGCTCCACGGCCAGAGGCCACCACTGCCCGTTCCAGATTCATTTTAGCACGAGAACAGCTCACAGGCGCAGGCTGCCCCTTCAGCCTGCAAAAAGCATCGCCATGGCCTCCTATACTGTTAATAGAAATAATTATTTTATTTCTCTCTGTACCTATCATACATACATAGATGATAATTCATTTTAATTAATGTAGCTACACATATGTTACAAATAAGTTATTTGCAGAACATCTTTTCTATGGTCAGCGAGTGCTGTTATATCCCGTGAAGGAAACCTTAAAATAAGAGTGGTCCTTTAAAGCACTCTAATTATCAAGCAGCCAATTATGGAATCAAAGTCAGTTTTCATGCTGCCAAGAGACTGTTTTTTAGACAGGACCCACACTTGGCACCTGTTTAGAAGGGAAAATACAGCTCCCCTTGCTTAAGGTTCTTCTCCCGACATACAAAACCAACCCCTCCGTGCTCTCTGCAGTCTTCCTCTCAACACTGACAAATTACTGTAAAAACGATTGGCACTGCATCATTCAGACACTCTCCAAGAGCAACCTCAGTGTAAACCAAAGCCAGAGGGACCTCCGTGTCACACCCTAACTCAATCCTCATTCGGGCAACTCTGACACAAAACGTTCCTGCTGGCAAATGCATTTGGAAACCAAGCAAGTGTAAAATGATACAAAACCCCACACTGCATGGAAAAATCCCAAAGGATTAGTGTCAGAACAGATTTGGCAGCAAGAGATTGGAAAAAACATGAAGGCCTAACAGAAGAGTGGCTGATGCCAGTCAGTCCGTGCACGGTGCTGAAGTAGAACGGCTGCGGGAAGGTTTTAATTACTCAAGCTTTTCATCTCCTTCCTCCACGTCTTTCAGACTGAGCACTTCCAGTGTTCCTTTCCCTTTTGTCCCACTCCGGATCAGCTCATCAATCTCTCTGAAGCAGCCGGGGTCAATAAGGCACACCTGAAAGGTTCCACATTTCATAAGTCAAGCAGTAATCCTTGATTCTCATCAGCCCCTCTTCAAGGGCTAACATGAATTTTCATTTAAAAAAATACATTGTTTGGTTACTGAGAAGGACTTTGCAGAGCTGATAAGCAATTTCATAATAAGTAATCTGTCCACAGAAGTTCTGCAGTTTCCTTCAGCCGGGCTGGACGAGTCTTTTGACAGTTGAGATTGCTAGATTCTAATCTGTTCTCGGGAAGATTTCTACTAACACCAAATATTGCTCTACCATAGATCAGTTATCAAAAACTCATTAACCACTGTCAAAATACAGGCCTGGCCCACCAAATAAGTAAGAGTAACATTCCGTATAGGCAGAGAAACTTATCGGTTGTAGGATCATCACTGCCAGGAGAAGTGGCATCGTGATGCTCCTCAGCTTGAGGCAGCGTCTCTGTATAATGGAGGAAGTTACTTTCAAGCTTCCATCACTAGCACTGCGTGAAAGTAGTAACTGCAAACCACACCTCTGATTTAGAATCTCTGGTAAACTTGCAGTTTATCCAAACAACTGCCATTTATTAATTCATCTTCTAGTAATCTGCACAGCAGTAGCCAAACCAAGCATGAAACCCACGGACTGCTGTATTGCTTACAATCTCCAGCTGCTCATGGAAGTCTTCGCTCTCAATAACTTTAATCAGTGGCTTGAGCTTCTCTTTCAGTTTCTTGCCCTCCTTTGCTGGAAGAATAAATCGCAGCCTCATGTGAGCACGTTCGATTTGCATGGTCTCCTTTAACTGCCTGATCACTTCCAGTGCCTGCAGAGACATTAAGAGCCCAGAGCATTCACACACCTGCTTCAAAAACACCACAGAGCTCAACATCTCAAACCCTCTGCAGTAGCTTCAGACACATTTCTCAGCCCCGATCCCGCCACTCTGATGCAGGGAGTTTGCCATTACGCTGTTTTGACAGATTAACAAAAGAAAAGCAGAGTTCTTGCTGCTTGTGATCGCTTCCATACTTCAATGAACTGTCTGAAATAATGTTAAATAGCAGATACGCTGCAAACAACAGAAACCCACGCGGATCAGATGCAAAGCCTGATTTACTACCTCAGCTGAAACAAACGATAAAACTTGTATTTCTTTTCCACGCTGATCAGTGTTGCTGCTTTGTTTCTTTCTTTCTTTCTTTCTCCCTTCCCTGAATTGTTGGAAAACAAACCTCACGAGTTTTGGAAGCTGTTTGTACCCAGCCTTTAATTGCCAACCGGCTGAGTAATCACTCTGTGGGCTTTGCTGTTCCCTCTGTGACTGCCAAGAGAGAAATTACCCTTAGAGGCAACACCTCTGAGCAGAAGCTGATCTTGCAAGAAAACTAACCTGCTGCTTTGTGCTCTTGTGTGGTTTGACAGAATAGTGAATGTCCTTCATGGCTCTTTCTATAAGGATTACTGTGTACGGCCTCTTTGTCTCAGGATTCACACATTTGTCAGCCACAATAGTCGCGATGTCTCTGAACATCTGCTCCAGCTGTGTGTGTCGTTCTTTGTCCGATACCTGCAGCTCCCCTTTGGATAAAATCTGTACAGTCAAAAGGAAGAAACCAGGCGATCAACATCACAGATCTGACTAAAGAGCAAAAACTCCAGTGACCTCATCCAACTTAACAATTGCTTGAAGGGTCGCTTAGAGGTGAAGTGCAGAAAAAGAATACCCGTATTCATAACGCACATCACCATGACTGACAACGCTGGAAACACTTCAGACAGGAATCCCACCACAGAAGCACTGAACTACAAAAAGACAAGCGCAGATTTACTGGGACGCTCATCACCCCCAGGCCCACAGCGCATCTCCCACCGGGAAGGACAAGTCACATCTGTTCTGAACCCTGAACTGAAATGTCTCGAGTAAGCAACGGTCCCCTTCTTTTCGCTGCGTCCTTAATAACATATCTCAGGTGAGAGACTCTTCAGCGCTGTTGAACCTTTTTTCCGTCTCCACAGAGGTCGGTGCACGAAGCTGCGTGTGACACGGAACACTCCCAGCTGCCCTCGGCCAGACGCATAGAGCCAATGCGAGTCTGTACCACAGAGGGACCCCTCCTGGCCACCCATTTCGGAACAAATAAACAGCCCTGTCGCCCACAGCAGCACTGCCCTTCTACAGCAACTTCCCTGGAACAAACCAAGCGGCCGCGTCTGCGAGCCCCTTACAGAAAACACACGGAAAGGTTTCTGGCGGCTTTTAGAAAGCCGAGCGTGTGAAACCCACCATCTTACAGATCTCTGTTTGGTCGTCCGTCCCAAACGCTTGGACCAGATCCTCCTTCTTCGCCACCTGGCCTTTGGAAACGTTGACAAACACCGTGTGCGTCTGCAGGACCTCGTCGAGATCTTTCTCGCTAGAGACGGGGACAGGGTTAGGAACGGGCCAGGGCAGCGACACACGAGGAGCCGCGAGCTCGGGGCGAGGAGAAACAAGCGCTGCTGCTGCCGAGGGCTGCGCCAGGGGAGCCCGGGAACTTCTGCTGCCGAAACGGGACTGCCCAGGGCCGGGCAGCGGAACCGCACAGCGCCGCTCCCCGCCCCCGGGCCGCCAGGGGCCGCCCCGACGCCGCGGGCTG